ATTACATGATGACCTTCCCTAGGTATTAGACACAACACACTTGAGCAAGCCACACCAGTTTACACCAGAGCAGGACCTTGGTGCCACTGGCCAGTACAGACTTACCAACCTGGTCATGTTGGCAGTTCTGACTGACATCTCTGCTCTGCATCTGTAATGATGTCTGCTTCCACAGGAGATATAAAATGTAACTTGCCCTCTGGAATGGGAGAAAAGCCAGCATGAGCAAAAGCTTAAAAAGTAGATTATAAATTCTTTGCAGAAGGAATGGGTCCAGAGTTCAAAGTTTGCACAGAAACCTGATAGCACAATTCTTTCTTACTTTAAAACTCACTGTTTCCAGTGAGTCTCGTGATCAGTAGAAATAATTAAATACCGCATACTCAGACCTGACAAAAATCGTATAAGATCTGTAAAGCGTGCCTGATAAAATCTTAAGGAAGTCTAAGCTATTTAGTTCATCAGAGACTGACTTAAGTGATGAGTCAATCCTCACCCTTAAATGATTATATGATGCTGTGACTTCTGATGACAGAATCTATCAGGAAAAGATATGAGATTCAATCAAATTAAGCCCAGAATCAAGGTGCATAGTTTTAGCTCTTAGGAACCACAGTGAGCCACTGTACCAGCTTACCTGGGGATGAAGAGATACTGCATCACACATGTCCTTTAGTATCATTCAAAAATATATGCTATTACATAAACAGAAGTTATGGATTCAATGTAAACTTTACTTAGCATTGCGGCCAACACAATATGTGATCTGACCGGATTCATATCTCAGTTCCATATCATTCACCTTGGATGAATTTTTAGGATTCAAACATAAAAAGCAAAAAATTGTCCCAAGCTGTGACGTGAAGCATCAATACATCTTGCAAACTGCCATCCAAAAAGTTCAGTTTGGATCAACTGAAACTTACAAGAATGAATCATTTTTATTTTATATATATATATATATATATATATCCTTTTTAATTTTTATTTTCTTGCTGCCTGTACATAAAAACAATGAGATTAGACACAAACCTATTGGGTTTCAAAATGGTAGACTGACACAGCAAATTCTACAATTGTAAAAGAGGTGATACATTAACTCTGATCTACTCCTGTTATAAATGTATTCTCCACAAACTGGCACTTCCTGACAACATGAAGAAGTTGCAGCAGAAAAGTCCTGTTGATCTCAGTCATGACCCTTTTCTGATCTTAAATATTTAATAATATTTATTAAAAAGTAATATAAACTCTTAAAATTCAGATATCTGCAACTGCATTTATGAAGCTCTGCTTCCTTTTCATTTCTAGGTACATCCAGTGGGTGGTACCAGCTTTGCACATTAGACCGGGTTGTCTAGTATGTGACAGCTTCTGCACAGTTTTCCATTGCAACATCTTCACTGAGCTCCCCAGAAAAACGGCCAGCTCTTGAATGACAGATGTACTCACCTGATAGAGTGCAATACGTAAATGGAGGAACAAAAGGATCTGAAACTGCCTTAGGGAGGGAGGTCAGGTGAAGGTTAATCAAAGGAAATGACAGTTCGATGGTATGCACGGCCCTTGAGATTACATGTGTGTATTTTGCTGGGAAATATTTAACTGCTTTAGCTCTATTTAGGAAGAAACCAAAATAAAGTGCATATATGAAAAAAAATACTGAAGAATCCACAGATGGCTTCTTGGCCCAGTAGAGCTCTCATCGATGGGATGCAAACTCACCAGCTGAGAGGTGAAAAAAGCCAGAAGATGACAACTTTGCATTTGGTTTAACTATCATAAAACATTTCACTAACATAAAATAAAACACAGTAGCTGGGAAGCTATTGAAATTTAATAAAGCTCTAATTTATATTGCTTCCATATTTATCCCCAATATTTAGTAGTCTTCTCCCAGAATGGGTTCTTGAACTAACAAAGTAAAACTGCAACTAGAAAACACTGTAGAAGTCTAGAGAAACTCATTTGCGTCTTGTAATGAACTTGTTTTGGCCATGTTCCTGCCTCATTTGCATTTCCTTCCCAACAAGTATCACGCACTTGGATTTTTCTTTCAATAGTACTTTCAAAACCTGATTTTAAGTTTGCAGGCATGTAGAAAGGTATTTCCAAATGCGCTTTCCCCTAACATTTAATCATGAAATTTATTTTAGTATTTGTTCTCAATTAATTATGTAATTAAACCAGTAGCACATGACTTCTCAATCACAGGTAAGTAACACAACCTGAATCCTGATCGCTAGTTTTGATTAACAACAAAAAACCCCAAGTCAATAGAACTCATGGAAAATTTTGACAACTTTTTTTTTTATCCTTCCCACAGAATAAAAGGCAAAATTCACCGAATGAATTATTAATTATGAGTTATTCATCCAGCTCTAGTAGAAACTAATCTGTTTTTTTTTTTAAGCATCAAAAAGGTCTTTCAAATATAAGTTGCAATAATGAAATATGGCAGCAGATCTTGAAATGTGCCCTTACCCAGTCTGCAGATACGCAAAAGGTTACAGTACCAGAGTTATTAATCCCCCGTCACTCTGACAATTGATTTTGAACAGTCTGTTGCAGTCTTTATAATTCAAGATCATAAATGTTCAAAACTAATTTATTGCTCTTTGTTCCACCTGGCAAAAATACACTGTCAAACTGAGTCGTGTTGACACAAAGATGCAGATGAGTATTTAAGTCCTATTTTTATCCACATCTGTAAATTTGTTTGCAATACCTGTGTGTGATTAGAACTATTCAAAAAGGAGCAAAGAAAGAGGAAGAAATTATGCTGTCTTTAATGAACAGGAAATATTTACATAAATAGTAATAGGTATTTCTTTTAAATTTAATGGGGATGAGTCATTGTTTTAGTTTGTCAGTATTGATATTTTTGGTTTGCACTTGGTTCCCTGGAAGCTGTCAGATTTTCAAAGGTACACATGTAAAAGCTCTTGCTCTATATGCATATTGACATACATACCAGGCAAGGATTCCCACAGCCAATGAGGGATATGCAAAACCTTTCATCCGACATGGCTGCTTTTTTTTCCCTTTTCTTTTTAATTAGTGATTTTGAAGCCTGAACCAATTCCACTCATACTGAAAATTCCTGAACTTGCCTTTTCTGCATGCAGCAGTTGCCACCGCTCCTGCCCATGCCAGGGAAGTGCCAACGTCTAAAAAGGGACAATCCAGAAAAGGAAGGGAGGAGGGCAAATAGGGAGGAAAGGACCCACTTTACACCAACATAATACATTCATCTGTAAAAATAAAGGGGGGGGGGGGGTGGTAAGGATCAAAAAGAATATATTACAAGGAAGTTTAAGAATAAAACCCTGTTTCATACAGCAAGCATTCCATAATGAATGAATTACAAGTTCTCTAAAGCCTGCTACTGAAGCAGGGAACTGAAACACAAAGGGAAGAAAAACAGAAGAGCATTTCAACATCAAAAATATGCCTATTCAGAAGTCTGTTTCTCAATCTCTAAAATATTTTTTCTCAGTAGAAAGATGAACCTGTAAAATTACTGTTCTTTTCAAAATAACCACATAATACTTCTTTAATAACACTTTTCAATCTTGCATATTTTACAGCCCGAGAATATAGACTTCATCTTTCTATTATCTAGGGGCAGAATCAATTGACTGACCTGGCAAGTTTGCTCCATTTGAATTAGTATTTTTACCATGATTATGAAACAGGAGAGCTATCTGACTGCGTGCTAGAACTGCTGCATTCATGACTCTTAGACATCTGTATGATATTGAAATTAATTTCCAGTATAAAACAGTTAACAGAATAACCCTAGATAAAGGAAGTATAGCATTAATTTAATTCTTCTTGTTGGCAATGTTGTAAAGTCCATTGCTCAAGTAAGGAACACTTTTCTGAGCCAGATACAAATTAATTTTGCCATTCTTCTTCAAATACTAATTTTAAAAGTCAACTAAAGGCTACAGCAGCTTTGAAATATTTCAGTGATTGTTTTAATTACCTATCATACAGCTGTGAGACACTGTGAAAGGGAGGGGTGGAGAGAGAAAGGAGAACAACACCTGGTATACGAGCAATTGTTTTCCAACACAGAGAAGTAAAAGCAGTTTCCAAGCACTCAGCCCAACAAAAATCTCAGCATATTCAACACAGAATATTTTTTCTATCAGTACATTAATGTGGTATTTTTATTCCGGACTGCGTGTTTTTATTCTGTCAATAACTACTTTCACTGTTAAATAACACCACCAAATCTCCAAACATTAAATATATGAATTCTGACAGCTTTTAAAACTTGCTTTTCAACCCAAAGTTGATGCACACGCTACAATAACTTGCTAAAGGCACACTTGGGGCTTCTTTCTAGGGTCTCGTTCTCTAGGAAAAAAGCTCACTGCACTTTTACCACAACTACAAAAAAAGGCATATTTTTGTCATTCCAACCCTTAATAGAATTGGAATCTAGAGGCTATTAGGACTTCTGATGGCCTTTGACACCCCGGCTTCCAGCACCTCAGCAATCAGTCAGTGCTGGGGTAACAAAAGACCACTCAAACGTACAGTTGTCATCCCCACACTACATCTGTTGGCCACACTGTTAGGAAGTGTTGACCCCATCATTTCACCATAAACACCGACAAAATCAACAACAACAAAAACAGAAATGAAAAAGGAAACTGGATGTCAGAAGTCAGGTCAGCACATTTTATTTGCACATGTGTCAGTAAAGATAGAAGGAATCACTGAATTAAATTAAATCAAAGCAAACCTGCTAATTAAAACAGCTAAAATTATGTTTGTGAAGATGTGTGACTGGTTTCCTGCTTATCTGCAAATAAGCCTCCCCATAATATAAACATGTTTCTATCTCCACTTCATTTATAATAAGTCTTTAGGCAGATTGTAATTAGTATTTTGAGTTTCTAGTAGAAGATCTTTGTGTTACTGGAGAAATATTTTCCCTGACCATAGAATACTTATTATTTCAGCTTCTCTTCAAGGGTTCTCACCTGTTCTTCTCATGCTGGTCAGTCTTCTACCCAATTTATTTGAATCAAATTGTTTGGGTATGTGTCTGAATACCACCACCTTCATAACATATTGCTTGTAGGTAATCACAAATGCAGGCATTGTATTCAGCTCCACCTACAAGCCAAACCAAAAGCAATTACCAGTTTTGTTTGGATTTGTTCTCTAGTTTTGTTTTCATTCCACAATGGAAGAATGATAAAAATTATCATGTTGGGCAGAAGAACAGGGTCAAATCAGAAGTTTTGCACAAAAGATATACTATTTACAAAAATCAACTTTTTGCTTCTGTTTTACTTATTCCAAAGTTCACAATGCATAACTTTGTACAAACCCAATTACATAGCCCAGTGATTTACTGGCAAAGCTGGCCAGGAGAAATTATATGGCTTTAGCTAATGTGTATGCCTATTTACAAACAAATCCATATAAATCTACAAAATGACCAGAAAGAAAAAAAAAAAAGGTCAAGTCAGAAATGCATCTGAAGTCATATAGAACGCAAGCTCAAAATTGTTCAACTGATATTATGATTTCACTGGATAGCAAATAAACCGTGATTACAAGTATGGATTCAGTCTTTCAGATCATGTGTTACTTATTTATTTATCCCAGTATTTAACTTTAAGCACGTATGGAGTTTCATTGGCTTGGAAAGCATGGTGCTTTCTTTTTGCCCTTTTCATAATTTTTTAAGGATTAGTTTGCACAGTTAACGGATGTCTGGACTGACTTCAACAGGATTACTCAGATGTTTACAGTCACCCATGGGTTTCAGCAGGTCTTTTAGATTCAGGGCTACAAGGCATTAGGCCACAGAGCTGCATGTGCATGACATGAACAAATGGCTACGCAAATGGAATGTGATCTGAGGCTGGTATCTTGAACATGAAAATTGTATAACCGGAAACACTGCAATAATGTCTGTGTATTATGTAATTACTTATGCTGACAAATCTCTCTTGGTTTTGTTGAAACACTTCTGAAACAATACAGAATAACTTGGGAAGAGCACAAGCTCTTTTTATAGTTTGCGTAAAGTTAAATTTCTAAGTCAAAAATATGAACAAAACATCTATGATTTTTAATTGCACACCAAATAGTTTCAGATTATTGCATATGTCTTTTCCCTGGAATGACCACTGGGCACAATGGTCAGTCAGAGGTTTTGTTGGACATGGCCCACAGTTCTTTTACTCACCTCAAAGCAACTGCCTCCTAAAAATGCATCAAATTGCAAATATGCTAAACCCCAAATTTTGCTGTAATTGCATTGCCAGCGCTAAGTCCTACATCAATAAGAAACCCCATTGATGTCAGCATGACTTGTGGCAACACAAGATTTCCCTCCCCCCAGTACAGCTATAAAACTGGATTCTTGGTGAGTATATTTGAATTATGTGGATTATATATGATTAAACAGATTTGGATTAAATCACTGCTATGGGCTGCCTTATCAAGAACATACTGTCATGACCACATTGATGTACAGTAATCAAGGTGACCTTAGAGACTTATTTCAGCCCCAAGAAAACTCTGATCAACTTCAATGGATGAGGATTTTTTCTGCTCTGCAAAGATCAGTCTGTAAGATGTAAGGAGTTAAAATGCTGCTTCCCTGATGAATAGTTTTCAAGCCCTAAAATTATGATTCAGGCGACAAAGAGCAATCTTTCTTGCAGGGGAAGCCAATCTCAGCTAAACTCCTTGGACTCTGTTTCATTCATCAGGATGGAAAATATGGTTGGCTGTGCCTTCTCCTAGCATGCAATAAAATCTGAATGAAGGGGAACACCTAAATAAAGAAATCCACCAAAACCCTACCCAATCCAAGTTTGTCCTTCATTAAATCACTGCATTATTACCTTATTTTTTAAAAATGTTCTGAATATTACCATGAATCTTTCCCTTTTATCACTATGGTTAGTCTTCATTTAACCCATAAATATAGCCTATCATTTCTGTTCTAAATGTACCGTAGGGTTAGCCAGAAATGACAGAAACAAATTTCTTCCTCGCTGGAGTAATGAGGATACAGCTAAGAGAAGATTTTTGGTTACAGGTTTCTACAACTTCCAGCTAACCACAGCTAAAGTGTTAACTCAAAATGCTTCGACAATTCACAGGCTGCTGCTCCAGTAGAAGGGCTTTAACAGCTAGGGAGCATGTGCCTTGTGATGCTGATACACATCCTCATATTTAATATGGGTAACATTTGGCAATCATCGCTACAGAGGTCATTCTGAGGGTAGCGAGCAAAAAGACCTAACGGGTAAGAAAAGGCAAAAAAAAAAGACCCAAGCTGCCAAAGTCTGGGGGCTTGGCAGAATAACAAAGATAAACTAATGAGCAGTGCAGCTTTTCTGCACTGAGGCTGTCTGATTTCCACACAGAACCCTATGCCTCTCTCCTTTGGATTAAGCAGCCCAGAAGTTGCTAGATCCATATAGAAAGTTGAAGAAGGGGAAAAAGGGAAAGTAATGGTAACAGGAACACTTTCCTGAAGTTTACCGCAAATTATACATCAGCTCAAAAAAGTTTGTACCCCAAGATACCATATAAAGATATCAAAGGCTTGCTGGGGGTGGAAAGCTCTTATATAATCTATTACACTCCAAATATTTTATGCTGTGTTATCTCTCATATGGACACATGTAGTAAACATTGCGCTCTGAACCTCTGGGTTCACATCTGCATCGAAGGACTTGCATCATCCAGTGAAGCTGTGGTGAAGCCACAGGTCTAGAAACTTCCTCCCCTTTAACATCCATCCTCTAAACAAGTCTCCCACCCCATCCTCTCCTCCACCAAGGACATTTTTAGCAAGATTGCTGCGCAGCTAATTACATTACCATGGCATCCAAGTACCACACAGTCACGAGACCTACTTCTTTTAACAGCCCTTGGGTTTGTAGAGAGGTGTTAACAGGGAAACATCCTTACATTTGGAGAGCTGAGGCACAAGGTCAAGTCATTTGTCCAACATGACTGGAGAAGATGCACTGGGCAGAAAGTTGCTCTCTGTCAAGTAGCTGCCAGAATGAACTAGATGCCAAAGCAGCTGCATGACCACCTACTTAACCCAACCACTGTGCCCTCAGAGGTGCTCTCAGGAGGCAGTGCAGGGATTCCAAGAGGAAACCTTGAGCAAATAGAGAGAAATACCTACTTGCCACCTTCATTCTGCTGTCCAAGATAGCTGCTCTGAGCCCTTTCAGCTCTTCAGGAGCAGAGCACTAACTTAAAGAGTATTTTTTCCATGCTATTCCTCCATGCAGAGCACAAGTACTTTTTATTTCTAATTCCTCTCACTGAGTTCACTCATCTGTTTCCACTTGCTTCCTTTAACAGATATTTTAGTCACATCTGTGCTACCGGAAGAATTTGGGCATGACTTACTGCAGCTTGTTGTTCATTAGGCTATTACTGCTATTAAGTCAGCTTAAACCTTGAGGAGTTGTGCATTATCCTTGGTGCTGCCATCTCTCACTGCTCTGATGCCAAAACATTTGTTCCTATATACTTGCACAGCATTTTCCCCAGGTAATTATTAAAAAGCAACCGCAATAAAACTTAGAGTGGAGAATTCCAGCCCCACTTGTGGAAAGCAGAGCCTGGCCAGTCTCACCTCCCACCATATCACTAGCACAACAAGCTTTATGATGGAACAGGCTCATCCACAGCAGTTTGACAGGCTCATAATATATTCAATTAACAATAAACCCACAGCACAGCTTCCTGAACCTGCCAGCCAGCTGAACTAAGACAACCAGCTGCATACTAAGATACATTCTGCCACTAACCTATCTAACCGTGTAAGACCTGAGGCCTGTTAGAATTGAAAGTAGACCCTAAATAGCCAGGAGTGGCAGACTTTGGCCAAAAGTGTACCCCACTAGAGAGCTCACTTCTATGACAGACCTTGTTCTAACCTTTGCCAAAAAGCTGTGGTCATCATATCGTCAGTCTGCTCTGTTACTCAACATGCAATACTTGCGGTAGCAGACAGATGAATTAATTTAGATAACAGAAACAGTAGCATATAATCATAACAGAAAGAGCTGAAACCACAAAGGACTGCACTTTCTCTATGGCACAGCAGTATTTTTTTAAGTGTCCAGTCCCTTTTCAGCAGTATTTTTAGAGGAATAGCAGTTGGCTAGATACAGCCATGGATAATCAGTGGCAGAGAGAGTAAAGAAAACCCTGCTCCTGACAGTCAGCATCTACACTTTAAGCTGCAGAAGAAACAGCTGCCTTGCTGTTCATTAGAGAAGGGATTTGCCAAACACACTCCCTGATGCTCTGTTATGCAAGGTAGTACTATATGTATTCTCTCTTTTAACAGAGATGTAGTCTAAAAGCGTTCGTGTTTAGCTCTCCCATCCCCCTAAATCTTCTCCACAAAGGACACTGTCATCACCAAAGCTCTGCAGCAAGGATGTTGCAGACATCCTTTAAACCCCCAAAGAAAGGGAAAGGGAAGCAGTAAAGCTCTCTGAAGAGCTCTTTGGTGGAACAAGCAGAATTATGAGCAGCAGGAGAAATATGAGTAATTAAGACAACAGTATATCTATATCTTACAGCTGACAGAGTGAAGCTGCAAGTTAGCTCTGGGCAAGATGTTAGCAGAAGAAAGAACTGAGCAGGCTGTTTCTAATGTTACTGTTGAAAAGCCAGCCTGGAAAAGGGCTAAAGGGACAATTTCATTAAAAAGAAGGAAGTTGGTTGGATTAAGACAGCAGTTAGATGCAGACTTGTAACATTAAAGGAACAGGTCAACAGCTATCTGTAACAAGACAAGCAATCATTTGGGGAGTCAACCAATGTGACACTTGCTGTTCTTAAAAGAAAGTACTCTTAAATTATCTATTGGTGGAATATACAGAAAAATAGAGCTGCAGAACTGCACTGCAGCACAAACCAAAGCACTGGGGTGGATCAAGGCTGCAGAAAAGCAAGGGAGAGCAGTCAGAATGTTTTCCAACAAGCTTCCCAAAATAATGGCTGATTTTAGGCAGTCACCATTTGCCCAGAGTCGGCACTGTGGTCAGGGCACAGCATTTGCTGCTGCCCATGATGCAACCAGCATGTCCCCGTGCCAGCTCAGGTGCAAG